GGCCTGTTTTTCCTTTGGACGTCCAACAAGCCACTTACCCAAAAGGACCGGAATCTGGCCCAAAACAAGCCCCTTTTGGCAACGTGGCTTTTTGTCCACCCCCCGATAACCCCCAAGCTCACTCTGTGAGGTAATGAACGAGCTCCCTCACGAGGAGCTTTCGATTTGAGGGCAGGAGGGACGGGCATCTGAATTACAGGTGTTTACCTGTAGTTGTCCGTGAGTGGGGGGATCGAATGTGGGGGATGCCAGGCTTGAGCTGTGAATTTGGACATCCTTTTCAGTAAGCCAAGCCAGGCATGCCTGTAGCGCGGCCCATTGCCAACAGCTCTGATTGGGGCAGAAGGGCTACTCCGGAACCTTATGCAGCTCAGTCAGCTGAGTTGGATGCTTGAAGGGGTGCTCCGCCAACTCTTTCGCTCCTGAGCCCAAGTTTATCGGGACAACTCATGATGATTCGCTCTGTGAGCTTTGAAGGGCCCAGTCCCTGGCTTGGTACCGGACTTGGTACCGTGGCCATGTGGAAGGACAGCTCGTACTTTGAGACTGCACATGGAAGCTTCAGGCCTAAGGCCATCTGACGACAAAAGGAGCACAACTGGTCCCTGATTTCGGTGTCAGAAAACTGGCTTGCGAAGTCTGCACAAAATCAACCCTCAGGAGACGTAAGCACACGTCGCACAAGAAAAAAGTCTTTCATCTGGAATACCTGGCAAACGCATAGCAGCAGGCCCTGCTCAGCCCATGGTAATGTCCAGTCTTGTGCAGGGCTCGGGGGCACTCTCGTTGCACGCTGCACCAAGGCATTGCCATCCTTGGCAGGCTGGCGGCTGGCAGATTGGGCCAAAGCCAAAGGGCATGTACTCAAACTCAAACCTGCCATACCTCCTGCGAAACTGTTGGGGACCACTGCTTTCGTGACCTCGTCTGGGGCCTTCACTAAATGCTCCGATCCACTCGCTTTCGAGTCTTCTTCGCTGATAGGTTGAATGCGATGCCTTGTATTTGCCTCAGCCTCGACAGACCAAGGATGACCAAGGACCGGGCTGATCTCTGCATGTGCAGCCGCGCTTCGAAGCACACCACCTAGGACGTAAACGGGAGAGCAGGGGGCACGGTACAGCAAAGGGCAGAGAGTCAACTGTTGCGGGTTAACACTGCTGAGGTTCCCTTAGACCAAGCGGCTTCCTGTCCAGAGGAGGTCTCTTTACGCCTTGATTTGGATGCCGTATTTGAACGGGAGGTATGTTACGTGATTCGCGATGAAAAAGGAACCTTGCCCGTGCGCACATCGCGCATTCCTGGGCAAACTGCAGATTGCAGTGGCCGCGGAAGGACGTTTCGCATATCGTCCCCTCATCCCGCACTTCTCGGAAACCGACTCCACTAGAAGCAAGTATGGACAATGACTCTGCCACCTCCTTGTTCGTTCAGTGAAAGAAAGGCCCTGGACAGGGGAGGTTGAGGCTGGGTCAGGGCGGGCAAAGCTCACTTGAGCCTCGAGGTGAACCCCCTGTAAACTTAGGAACCCTTCCAGAGCAGTCCCGTTTTTGGCTTTCAAGAGAGCGGACTCTGTGCCAGATCATTGTCCTGAATTCTCCCACACGGCGTCTTGCCCGGGGCTACTGGAAACGGAGTACTTTATCCTGGATGGCCTCATCAACGAAGGCAGCAGTTGGTTCAGAGTCTTTCGGCCGTTCTTCCGCTGCGGCCTTGCACTTCTCCTGAAGCTCAGTTACATCCGAGGGCAGCCGGCCCTCTCCGAGAACACACCAGCATTTCATATCACTTACGAGATGATGCTGGCAGGCGGACCACTTTGCGAAGATCAGTTTGCAGTTTGGGCAGGCGTACTTGCGCAGACCGAGCTGGCCAGGCTCTGAGGCGGTAGAGGATGGAGACATCTGCGGGCTCGTCTGTGGGCTCCCCTGTTCACCCCTTTCGTGGTGCAGATGCTCGAGCACCGGAAGTTCTGGAATTAAAGGCTTGGGCAGCCTTGTCGGGTCTTCAACTCTCGTGTTGGAGGGATCTCTCTCAAACGTGTCTGCACGCTTCTCAAAAGATTCCTGCAAGGGAAACGTGGGCTCAAAGGTCTGGCCACTTGCCTGGCCATAAGCCTCGTCAGAGTACCTGTCCGTGGAGTCCATACTGGCCAAATAAAGGTCAAGTGCAGAGGTCATATTCCCTTCGTTGGGGTTGCCCCAGGAGTCATCAACGCCGGCTGTCATCTCCATTGCCTGCCAGTTTGCAGCAGCTTGAAGCCATGAAGGCCATGAAGCACTGTCATCAAAAGGCTCAAAGGCAGCATTAGCATAGCCGCTGTCGCTCTGGCGCGAATCGGTTTCAATGTTGCGGTCAGAGTACCAGCCAGGCCAGTTGCTGCCTTTGCCGGCATGTGGCTTACTGGCGCCATACCAGTCTCGTTCCCACTGTTTTCCTTTGCCTAGCCTTTGATACTTTCCACCCTTGCCAGAGTCTGTAGAATGCAAAGGTTGCAAAGGAGTGAAAACTTCCAATGTTGGCAGTCGCCTGCCTTGCTCATCGAAGGCCATAGGCTTGCAATCTTCTGGAACGTTCTTCTCGAGCCATTCAGCCTTCCGGTGCCTCGTAATGTTTGCCTCATAGCCCTGGATGGAAGACCACTGTGCCTTGCAGGGACGATCGCTGATGTGCCCACTCCAGTCAATACTCCCTTCGAAGTAGCGTTGGCATTCCACAGCCGTTGCATGATCGCGAAAATTTAAATATGCTAGTCCAGTGTTTTCGAGTTGGTCCAAATACATTGGAAGGTAAAAAAAGTCATAACAGCGGTGGAATTTCTTGTCCACCAACTCCAGCAGAATGTCTGCATTCAAAGTCCTTGGTAGACCTGTTAACACGACCGTGGTTTCTCCCTCGGCCCAGTTTGACCGGCCACGAGAACGTCCTTTGAGGGTTCCTTTCCCAGTCTTCCACATCTTCCCCTGCTCAGCAGGGACCTAGAGCCAAAATGGCTGAGTCTAGGGCAAGGAGACGCCTGCAAGGCAGCGGTCTCTCTCAGTCTGAGGGCCGGCTTCAGTGCCATGCAGCTGTGGTGCCCCGCTCCCGCACAGTGCAAGAAAATGTCCAGCTGCGACTCATCCGTTCTGATCTCCTGACACGCATCGACATCGTGCAGCTTCCTCGGCCTGCACTGGGAGTGAGTGGGGGGCAGGCCTTGGAGGTGTGCGATACGAGGCCCATGGCTGGAAGGTCCTTAGATCTCGAAGTGCCAGTGACGCTGGGCTGGAATCTGCGAGGGAGTGAAACGCATGCATCTATGTGCATAACCCCATATTGTGTGAGTGAGTGAGTGAGTGGTGAGTGAGTGAGTGAGTGAGTGAGTGAGTGAGTGAGTGAGTGAGTGAGTGAGTGAGTGAGTGAGTGAGTGACACAGTGAGAGACTCTGTGAGTGAGTGTGTGCGTGCGTGGGTGGGTGCGTGCGTGCGTGCGTGGGTGGGTGGGTGGGTGGGTGGGTGGGTGGGTGTGTGTGTGTGTGTGTTTGCGCGCGGGTGTGTG